GTGTGTAAGAGAGAGAGAGCACACAAGTGAGCTAGCTGTGTGAAGGAGCTGCTGCTATGTAGAGGAGCTGTGTGAAGGAACTATGTAAAGTGCTGTATGGTGAGAGCTACATAAATGAGATGCATAGCTGTGGCTGTGTGGAGATTTGTAACTGTGTGGAGACAAGGAAGATGAAGCTGTACAGAAAAGAGACATAACTGTGCATAAGACGTATGGGGCTGTGTGGCAAATGTATGGAGACTATAACAATGTGGAGACAGAGATTTTCAGAGAGAGGATTTTTTAAGATGAAGCAAAAAGAGAAAGTTACCATCAGAAAGTGTATGTTTCCTTATTTTCCCCTCAGATAGAAAATGTCTAGCCTCCAGATAGATAAGTTTTTCCCTAAAGTCCCCCTACTCTGAGGCATTCTATATACAACCCTATAGAGAGCAGTTCTTGGAGCTGGCCTCCTGGGCAGCATTAAGAACAGCATAACACTTGGAATACAGAGTTAAGTATTTAACTAACATGTGCTGAGTCAACCAACAATGACTCTTCTTTCCAGCGTTCAGGAGATCTTTCCCTGCAAATTAGAAAGCAGCTCTGTATCCCTTTAGATTTAATCAGTGTGTAAACACAGAAGTTATACTCTAGCAGGCAGAGGTAGAAGAACAAAATCAGCAACTCTGATGGTAAAAGATGGATCTTGTGAAGCAGGTTCTTATGTGTGAATAACTGTGTGCACATGGTTGTGCATGTGAAGGGTAGAAGACAGCCTCCCATGTTGTTTCTCAAGTGTGATCCATCCTGTTCTCTGATACAGAGTGTTTCACTGGCCTGGAACTCTCCAAGTAGGCTAGGTGGGCTGGCCACAGAGCTCCAGGGACGACTTCTCAGCACAGTGACTACAGCTGCATGCCACTATGCATACTTTTTTTTTTTTTGTAATGGGTACTGAGGATGAAACTCAGCTCCTCATAGTTGCAAGGCAAGCACATTATAGGCTGAGCTATCTCCCAGCCATAGTTCTAAAGTGATTAAAGCCCTAGTTGTCGATTCCAAAGCAATCTAACAACAGAACAGAACAGGGCAGAAACTACTTCACATTTCTATGTTCAAAATACCTAAACTAAGCTAATTAACAGCAATTTGAATATCATGAATCTATCTTGCTATCTTTAAGAAAACTTCAGCTATTTATTAATGAAATCAGAATTAAGCTCATTTGCTTTGATATCTGTTAGTACTTACATCAATTTTATGTGAAAATGTATACTTCACTGAAAAAGTGCCAATAATTAAAAAGCTTCAAATATCTACTTGTTTGAAAAGAAAGTGACTGTTGAAATAATTTTATTTGGGAAAGATTCAATTTTGATATCTATAAAAATATACAGCTTTTCAGAGGTGCAGCTTATTCTAAAAGACATTGTGGCTTTGGAAATAAAACTCTTCTGTGTTCCTGTTACTGGCAAATCTGTGAAGTATCATTTTACTAATTTATAAAATAAAGATTTCACTATTTATTTTGTAGGACTGTTAATAATATTAAGTGAAGTATTTTCTATAAACACTGAGCAAAAGGGAATATTCCTAAACCTGGGAATAGGGCTCAATGGGAAAGTACATGAATGAGGTCCTAGGTCCAATCACTGGAGGGGTAGGGGGAAGAGGTGGTTGTGTCTTTATGAAAGAAACTCTATAGGACTGAGAAAATAATCAGGTTTTTAACTTAATAGAAGGGTGATAAGAAAACAAATATAATATCTGTCCTGTAGTATCAACAGCTGTCCACGTGTGGTGGTATAATGTATCAACTGAAATGCCAGTACCTGGGAGGTAGAGGTGGGAAGATCAGAAGTTCAAAGCCAGCCTCAGCTACATAGTCCAAGATTGGATTGGGCTACACAAGACCTGCCCCACAATAAACAAACAAATAAATAAACGCAAACAAAAACCCCTCAAATATCAACAGCTAACTATGGGTTTGAAAGACCCACATTGGTAGGATAATGAATTCTGGACCTGTGTAATCTATATTATTGAGGGTTTCATATGATCCAATGACAGATGACAGGACAATCATCTTTCCTGAATCACTGGTCTTTTGATTCACTTTAAAATTACTACAAGTGATTAGCAAAGAATCAAAATCTTTGGAGAATGTGATTAACTTCTTAAAGTCTCACATATACACATACATTTTGTTCCATACATACTGAAAGCTGTTTTCTAGAATAACATGTTCTCCTAAGGAAGATAAATACATTAATAGCCCACCAGCATAGTACAGTAATGAGAAAATCACTAGCTCTCCAAAGTTATAGGTAGAATATACTGTTTAGATTAAAAATGTAACATCAGAATAACCACATTCAAAATATTTAAAAAATTATTTATGTGCATAGTTGTTTTCCTGGTACGAATGTTTGTGCACCATGTGCATGAAGGATGCTTGTAGAGGCCAAAAGAGGGCGCTGGAGCTGCTGGGACTGGAGTTATAGACCAATGTGAGCCACAAAGTAGATGCTGGGAACCGAACCTGGGTCCTCTGAAAGCACAGCCATTGTTCTAAATTGCTGAGCCAACTCTTTAGTCCCACATTCTACTCTTTGTTGTGCAAAAGTGTGTAGGATGAGGTCCACTGCTCCATCAGGAAGCATCTGGAGGAGAGATTGCTAACTTTCTCACTTCTGTTCTGATACAAAGGCAGATGGAATGGCTCAAAGCTTGTTTCTTAACAATGCTTTCTGCTACTTAGAAATCAAAAAACGCTTGAATAAGGAGAAACTCTTCAATCTGGTTCAACCCAATTGAATCTAACTTCAAATGGAAATTAAAGAACACAATTATGTTGCCAACTTGTTGGTAATAGTTATTTTCTAACATGTAACTATACAGATGAAAAACCTGTTATGTTGACTCTTTAAAAAACTAAACAGGGTCTTGAGGTATAACCCTGGTTTTGGTTCCTAGTACAGCAACATAAGTAGTGGTGGCATATAACTGTAATTCTAGCACTTGGGAGGTGGAAGCAAGGAGGGTCAAAGCTTGAGGTCATACCCAGGTACATAATGAGTTCCAAACTAGCCTATGATTCATGAGAACCAACTTATCTCAAACACCACCACCTCCCCCTGAAATATCATGTTTACTATACAATATAAAATATTTAATATTTATTACGTAACATAAGTTATTTAATATGCAATTATATAATAATGCTACTTTACTAATGATACAATAGGATAAATCAATCCTGAGTTTATTCAATTAACCTTCCATTTGATTTGCTAGTTTAGATATTACAGATATGATTTGTAGTTTTTTTCCCTTATTCTTTTCTTTGGTTGAGATTTCATTGTGCAACCTAGGCTAGCCTCAAACCTGGGGCAAGTCTCCTGCCTCAGCTTTCCAAGTGCTAGATCATAGCTGCTAACTGCTTTGCCTGATTTGATTTGATGCTTTCATGACTGTTGCTAAATTATGCTCACAACAAAGCAGCTATAAAATATAGGTCACATATTACAGTGACCTTTTCATTAAACTGATATTACTACTATTTATACTGATGAGCCCTCTTAGCTTTGGCCAAAGTCTTATGAAAACAATTCCTATAACACTAAAAACAATCACTCTCCCCCAATTTATATATACTGAGTTTTAAGTATCAAGTTTCTAGTCTTAAGCAAGGAATGGAAACCATATATTAGAATGGGATTTTTAATTAAGTCAAACCTAATCCTTCACATCAAGAGGTAGCATATGGTCGAGTTAATTGTGTGCTCTGTTGCTAGGCTATCTGGATTTGAATCCTAGCTCCACCACTCAAGTTTAGTCCAATTTCTCCCAGGGCCTTAGTTTCTTATGTAGGTATAGGGTAGGTAGTGATGCTTCAATGAGACAGTAAGTGTTCAGTGTTTAAAGTGGAGCAAGCAAGTGTCTTACAAGAATTATTTATTTTTATTATAATGACTACAATAGGTCAGCATTGTGTAGGCTTTAACAAACGTGTCCCAGTATGTGCAAGAAAAATGCTTTAACAATAGGTATAGCTTAGACTCATTCTGCCCTCACAGCTCTGTTGGTCCCTTATGGCCCTCCAGTTTCAGGAATGCCTACATTCCATTGGATCTTAAATACTGTCTATGATGTCTCACTCTTGGCCAAAGTCTTATGAAAACAATTCCTATAACACTAAGTAGAATGACTTCAATCACAGGAAGCCATAACCCAGCAGAACCAGATACTCTCACCAAGGAGCCACAGCTTCTACATTGGCAAATTTCACAGTAGAGTCTGTGGAAATTCTCATTGGAATCCAATGACACTGACAGAATACAGTATAAGACAAATTGGTCCTCAGAAGCTCCACAGATCCGGTGGTGATTGATATCTTGATATCTATCCAGAAGGACTGGTGAGGAAGAGGGTGAGGATAGGAAGGGAGGAGACTGGTCTAAGTAACTAAGCAATTAGAAAAGATGTTATCCTATTAAAATAGGCAGGGTCCTAAAAGAGCCTATTGTACCAGGCCTCACAGGAAAATCAGGAATTTCTGGAAACAACTTTGAGAGCTATAGAGCATTCACGGAACTCATAGCAAAGTTCAAACTAACAATGTGAACAGAGCTATTTCAATCAGCTTTGAAAAATGCAAATTTGTACTGATAGACATATGTGAATGCTGACCTTGGCTTGGAGTAGGGAATGAGGCTACAGTATAGTTACTTTTGAACTATGGAGCTGATAACATAAGCGTGCTTTATAGCAGCTGTTAACTAGCTTGCTACAAGGAAATCCAGCAAACTGTAGGTTTATATACCCTAAAACTTCTAACACCATCAGAACAGCAAGCTGGGATATCTCCAACTTAAATTAGAAATCAGTACCATAACTTTTTATAATAACTATGCATATTAACATCCCACATGGTAGGAGGAAGATAATTCCTCAAGCCATTTTAATTATTTCTGTAAAGTCAAAGAATCCAAATCTGTCTTTCCAGTCTTACTCACCTGCCACTCTTTCATCTGTTTCCCTGTTCCCGTCATCAGAATATCTTGCAAAGTCTAATGAATCAAGAGTACTAATGCTCCCAGCTCGATCTATAAAAAAGAGAAAAGTAACAGAACAGTTTTTTACTTAGTTGTAAAATAAGGGATTATAATTCAAGTACTTACAAATATTGGCATTTCATAAAACTGTAAGTTCTAGAAATTCAACTAACCAACCAAACAAACAAAAAGATTAAAAATGCTCAAACCAATTTAACTACTTTAGATAATTATATTTTCCTACTCAAATATCTGGCCCACTTATGAATGAAGCATACATAAAACATATTACAAGTAGTACAACCAGAACCAGTCAATCAACCAAACACTCCAAACAGACAATAACACCTCTCCCAAGACAGTTATTTGAACTGCACTTGAAAGACTTTATAGATTTAGTCTGGGCTGGATAACTGCTGACTGAAAACATAAGACATTGGAAAAAAACAGTCCAAAGCCAGTCTTCATAATCTATCAAGTATACTGTTCATCATACAGTCCAAAACGACTTGATACACAAGAACAGCAAAGTGTCATCCAGCACCAAGAGAAAATATGAACAAATAGGATCAATTCCAAGGTAAGCCATATGTGACAATCAGGGCACAAAGATTTTTAAAACAGCTGTTAAAATTATGTTTAGTGAATGGAAGTGTGGTGGTTTGAATTAGATGTCCCCCAGAAGTCTTAGGTATTTGAATACTTGGTCCTCAATTGTTGGTGTTTAGGGAGGCTTAGGAGGTATCACCTTGCTGGAGCTACTGTGCCATTGGACACAGGCTTTGAGGTTTCAAAGGCCATACACTAGTTGCACGGAGTTTCTCTCTGCTTCCTATTTGCTGTGCAAGATGTGAGCTCTCTGCTACTCATGCAGCCATGTCTGCTTGCCTGCTGCCATACTTTTCCATCCTCAGCGGTGATGGACACTTATCTGTCTGGAACCTTAAGCCTAAAATAAACCCTTCCTTCTACAAGTTGTCTTGGTCATGATGTTTTAACAGAATAATAGAAAAGTAATAAAAACAAAAAGGATAGGAAATCCTAGCAGAAAAATACAGAATATAGAAATTACAATGAAGGTTTTAGAAAATATCAGTAGACCTGAAAAGCAAATGCTTCACACCAAAAGTTCAATGCAGAGTATAACAGAATAAACATGACAGAGAAATGAATTAAAAATAACGACAGGGGCAGTGAGATGGGCTCTGTGGGTAAAGCATTTGTTGCCAAGTCTAATGACTTGTGGCCAGTCCTTGAGCTCCAGAGAGTGAGGAGAGAACCAATTTCTTCACGTGGCCTTTGCCTTCTGGGCATATTTGCACAGACCCACAGACAAATGGATAAAAGAAAGCATTCAACCTGAAGAATAATGAAAGGTGACTAAGATGAAAAGTAACAGAATTGTTTCCATGGAACAATAACAAAATGTCTAAGATACATAGAAATGGAGGCAACAACAGGTAAAACAAGAGGTTGAGCATCTAGATACAGATTCAAAAAAGTTAGAGGACACCCAGAGGATAGAGTACAGAAATGTAGGAATATCATAATCAAAGGAATAAAAACCAAAGGAATAAAAAATATTAAAAGCTGACAAGAGAAAAACAGCCCATCCACATACACAACACAGGAGCATGGCTCACTACAGATACATTCATTTGTCAAAACTGATCAGACTTAGAGGGTCAGTATCTATTGTATATAAAGAATCAAAACAACAACACCACAAACCTGAGCATCAAGAAAACAACCCAATTAAAAATGGGGTATAGAACTAGGCAGATAAAACACAAATGGCTAAGAAATGAAGAAATATTTAAATACCTTGGCCACCAGAGAAAAGAAAAAACCAAAAACCAAAAACCTAAAAACTAAAAAACCACTACTTTGAGATTTCATCTTATTCCAGTCAGAATGACCAAGATCAATAAAACAAATGACAGCATATGCTGGCAAGGATGCAGGAAAAGAGGAACACTTATTCTTTGCTGGTGGGAGTGCAAACTGGTACAGCTATAATGGAAATCAGTGTGGCAGTTCCTCAGGAAGCTGTGACTCAATCTACCACAAAATCCATCTATACTACTCTTGGGCATACACCCAAAGAACTCTACATCCTATTACAGAGACACCTGCTCATCCATGTTCATTGCTGCTCTATTAATAATTGCTTGAAATTGGGAACAGCCTAGATGTCTATCAATAGATGAATGGATTATGAAAATGTGGTATATTTACACAATGGAATGTTATTCAGTTGTTAAGAAAAATGGAATTTGTAGGTAAATGGATGGAGCTAGGAAAAAAAAAATCATCCTGAGTGTGGTAACCCAGACCCAAAAAGGCAAATATTGCATATTTTTTTATATGTGGTTGTTAGCTTTTTTTTGGTTGTTAGCTTTTAATATGTGTGATACAATCCAAATAAACACAGAAGTTAGGTTCCTAGTAAGTGACTAGGATCTCCTAAAGAAAGGGAAATGGAATATATTGTTATGGAGAGACAAAGGGGAAGACAGAATAGGAAATAGGGAAGGGTATGAGAGAAGAGGGTAAAGGGTGAATATGGAAAGGAACAACTAATACTAAAGGGCATTTGAAAAACCATATGGACACTTACCAACTACTATGCATGTGCACACGCGCGCGCGCGCACATACACACACACACACACACACACACACACACACACACACACGAAAGAAATCTAAATGGAGTCACCAAATAATAGGGAAAACAGTGTCTCAACTAGACATCATATGCCACCAAGTAAAACCTCCAGTGCCAGCAATGAGCTATGTATTATTGAATTATTGGCCAAAGTAGCCCCATGGAAACATCCGAACACTAGACTATTCCACAACCTGACGGTAAGGGCCTAATGCTGAAGACAACACTTACATGTCTCATTGAACACAGAGAAGTCAAGCTGGTGACTAACTAGAAGTTTCTTCTTACTGACAATCATTCATGGTACTGGAAGGCACTCTACATAATACCATAGAAGAAAAATAATCATCAATATCACCCAGCTATAAGCATTATAACTTACAGTATGAACTGCCTGCAAGAGTGCAACAGTGGCACAATTGTTTTGAGAGTAACCATTACCTGATTGGATTTAAGGCCCACTCTACAAGAGGGAACTCATGCCTAAGAATGCTAAAGTGGCCAAGAGCCTCAGACTAGATAGATCATGGGCCTGGGGGGAACCTACTATATTATTCTATCAAAAGAACAGAGCAATAAAATGATTCCTAATGACATTCTGCTATACCTACCTACAGGTCAGTTTCTTCCTCATCTATCACCAGATAAGCCTTCTGCAATAGATTGGTACTAACACAGAGATCTACAACTGGGAAATGTTCAGTGAGAGTATCTGGACCACTCAGCCCTAAATAGGATGCCTACTTCAAACCCTTCAAGGATCAGGGAGCTATGTGGAAGAGGACATGCAAAGACATACAAGAGCCAGGGATGGTGGATGGCTCCAAGGAAACTGACATCCAGATACAACAGGATTGATGCACATATGAACTTACAGAGGGCAGGGTAGGGTGCCAAAGTCTCCACAGGTTCAAGCGCTAAGAGGGGGATATGAACATAAGGTCCAACATCTAACCAAGAATCTATCTGCAATTGATATCCACAAGCAAAGGAAAAATTAGTTTCCTCCAATGGAATCTCACTGGGTATATTGCTCATACTTCAGGGTAGGCCCCATGCCCAGAAGTAGTTGATCAACACAAAACAAACTCAATGGTATATTTTGTCTTACTGATTTTTGACTTAAATATTTCTGTGTGTGTGTGTGTGTGTGTGTGTGTGTGTGTGTGTGTGTGTATTTCTTTTCTTTCTGTATTTTTTTTTTTAGAGCGAGAACATAAAGTTGGGTGTGTAGGGAGGTGGGGAGGACCTAGAAAGAATTGGGAGAGGGTGAAAAACATCAAAATATATTGCATGAAAAAATTTTCAATAAAAAAAATCAAACTGTACTCTTAAGATTTATAAAGCTTACTAAGTTTTAGTTCAGAAGGTAGAAATTCCATTTTAAAGTACTGACTTCTGGGGCTGGAGAGATGGCTCAGAGGTTAAGAGCACTGGCTGTTCTTCCAGAGGTTCTGAGTTCAATTCCCAGCAACCACATTGTGGCTCACAACTATCTGTAATGAGATCTGATGCCCTTTTCTGGCCATGCAGACACAGTACTGTATACATAATAAATAAATAAATCTTTAAAAAAAATAAAATACTGACTTCTAATGAATACTCTAAACGTGTTAAATTTCAGGGAAAAGTATACTGCTTGCAACACGCAAATTAATTAGCCACTGGATGGGATCTAGAATCACTTGGGAGACCAGTCTCTGTGAATGTCTGTACAGGATTATCATGATGGGGTTAAACGAAGTTGGAAGATTCACTCACTGTGAGTAGCACCATTCTCTGGGCTAGGATCCTGAACTGCATAAAAAGGAGAAAGTGAGCTAAACATGAGCGTCCACTGCCCCTTGCTTTCTGAATAATGTGACCAGCTGCCTTAAGCTCCCGCTACGATGAACCAACCATACCCTAAAAGTATAAGTCAAAATAAACCCTTTTCCTTAAGTTTCTTTTTTGTCAGGGTATTTTATCACAGCAATGTCTCCAACTTGTGCATGAAAAGCATGAACACAAGGAAGATCTTTACTGACCAATATTCTGGTGTTAGGATGTCAGAATTCTGTTTCCCACCTGACTTTAAAGGAATGGTAGAATTATGCTGACTGTTGATTTCACATAACTTTCTTTTTGGTTTAAGACAGAGTTTTCCAATGAAGTCCAGGCTGGCCTTAAGCTCTCAAGTCTTCCTCCAGTCTCAGCTTTATGGATGCTGGTACAAGCATGGGTTCCAACATCCCAGCTTCAGGTAAACAGATTTTATGTAAAGTACTCATCTTTTAATACTTTACTAAGTCCTCCTAATAGTTTTAGACATACATTAATGCCTAGACTTAAAACCTCTTTAGTCATGGTACAATCATTATTCTTTTACTAACTATCCTGGT